TACTTAATACTGTTTTATTTAAGGTAACAAGCAATTTAATTTTGAGACAAGTCAATCACGAAAAAAATATATAGATACATATAATTATAGAAATAGGATTATATTATCACTTATAGACGATATTTCCAATATCAAGTACATTTCAAACACAAAGATTCTCTTTCAAAGTTAGTCTTAATTGATAGGTTATTACTTTTCCGAATAGAATTAGTCAAAAACAGAATGATATAAAAGATTGATAATTTAAATGTATACAAAAAAATTATCCTTGAAAATAAAAACAAATCAATCAAAATTAAATATATAAGATGGAATTTTTCATTGTGTTTGCTGGAAAAATGGTTCATAAAACATAATGAACTTCAGATTTAAAAAAGATGAAAAAAAAGTTATCTCATTATATATTACAAGTAATGATAATCATAAATTTTGAAAATAGAACAAGTATTTCAGATGTGCCGCTTAACAAGTGTGTATACATTTTATCATTTCTTGCTGATCACCTGTCTCTGTGGCGCAATCGGTTAGCGCGTTCGGCTGTTAACCGAAAGGTTGGTGGTTCGAGCCCACCCAGGGACGATGGTTATCTTTTATTGAATAAACATAATTCAAATTTTTGTAAAAAAAAATTATTTTTTTATATTCTTAGTAAAGTATAAACCTAAGCCAATATCAAGATTTTTACCTTTTATGGAATGAAATACGGAGATCGAGAACCGTTATCATTCTAAACAAAAATCCGTTGAAACAATTCAGATCGAGGGTAGAGCAAAGATTACAGTTCTCTTGACACCCGTTTGTTCCTTTAACTTACTTTTGCTGAGAAAAGAATTGACGCTATTAACATAAGTACAAGTCTTATTCACAAAAGGGTCCATTCGAATTTCGCTATATTTCAAGCTTAAGAGCGCTTCTTGTGATTCTTATAAATATTTACATACTATAGCTTCCAAACTTTTTAACGATAAAAAGCTTTTCATCCAAATGTAAGCGTAATCATTGGTGATGTGAATATTAGATAAAAAGACCACCTAAGACCATTTATCTTATAAAGGCCAAAAGTTAGGGAACTTTGATCTTACAACTGATGACAGTGACATTGTGATATCTCTGATGAATGATAAATATTAACTTTCTGGATGTGGAAGTAAAGAAGAAGAATGGACTAAAATAATAATAAAATAGGTGTTAAAATTGCACAAAATATGAACTGGTCCAACTTGACGTAACATTTTATGGGGCTTGTTATATGTTATTACAAGTCTATTCATAAGAATGATCAATTTTACAAGTGGACCCCTATCTGAGGAAGAGTTCCTCAAAATGGAAAAGATAACAAACAGATATAGATCATGTGTCAAATTGAACACTCCCAAACTGAAGTTGACTTACAATATCTACAACTGCACTGGTTTCCTAGACTTTATAAAAATCTCTACAAAGATACATAGCAGGTCCCTGGTTTTGTTCTACCAAGCCTCACCAATGAAAATTACAGAAGTGAAGTATAAACGTCAGGTGTACTGTAAAACTGCATATTTGAAAATAGGAAATGAACGAGCATATGTACTGGAATTTAAAGATTTGTTGTACAGTTGAGAGAATTATTCAAAGCATCTAATAAAGTGGGTTTTTTTTTTTACAATGCATGAAGTCTTAAGTACAGTAAATGTACCCCAGAAATAAAAAAAGAAGTAAAGGTAAATTTGAAAGTGAAATTTACTTCTTGTACACAAAATTGATTTTAAAAAAATAATTCTTATATAAAAGATAAATGAGGAGTTTCACTCTAAAACAATGAACACAATATCATAAAATGATTTTATTACTTTGTAACACCAGACAAATAAAGGTTTAAAATGCATTATCAAAAGAAAACTTTTAAAAAATAAATCTCGGACCCATTAATGATTCAAACAAAGTGAAGGAATTCTTTTGTTCTCGTGAGCTAAAGCAAACAAATGGCTCCCGTCTGATCGAAATATAGTGCTTACAGCGATGATATATTCTAAAATTTTAAATCATTTTAATTGAACTGGAAATCTTTCAAATGCAATTGAACTTGCATTGAATGCAGTTTTTAATATCGATCTTTTTTTCGTATCTATGAAAGTTCTGCACGCTTCGCTGTCAGCGTTTTCAAAAACTTAAATCTTTACATTTCTTTTCAGAGTTGTGTAGAAATTTTTCTTAAGTGGTTTGAAAAGACTTACGCTATTACCAATCTCTTATTTAATACACACAAAAAGCAAAAGTTTAAAATGTCAACTCTCGACCGATTATTATAAAATATAGGTAATTGAGGCATACGTCGTAATTAATCGAAATTTAAACCTAAAATGATATCAGACCTTCTTTGCACTTGTGTATGCAGCCTGCGCATTGATCTAGATTAGGTCGTGCACTGTAGGTTGGGATATGAAATATGCTTCTCATCAGTATATAGAAGTGGCAACTTGGATATAAGGATGTATTTTCTATTTCAAGTATGTTGGTCATATCTTTTTCTAGCTTACTAATTCTTAAATATAAATTAATGTATAACAAACTTGAAAACAGTCGATAGATGAAAATCTTAAATTCATCAAAATCTACAATGGTTGATAAATAATTTGGTTATTCAGAATAAAAACAAAAAGTATTATTATTTGGGAATATAACATATCTCACATAAATTATTATTCACAAAATATTTCATTTTTTTTAAAAATTGTTTTTAAATTAAAAATAAATCTTTTTCGTTGAATTTAATTGAATGCCAAAAAATGATTAGCGAAATATATAAATTGACTAATGGAAGAATTATTGCCAAAAATTGTGCATTCATGAATTCATATTCATGTATTCGTGAATTTTGTGAACTTGTGTGTGATAACACAGGTAAAGTAATTTAAAATCCCTCTTTTTCAACTTTTGTGATTAATTTTCTATTGTCATTGTTGATTTTCATTCTAAAGTCAAATCTGATTTACAATATCCTCCTATCTGATAATAAGAAATCGTTGAACTCTAACAATAGGGAATATTCTTTCAAAACTATATCTACTTGTTGATTCTTTTAGTTAGTCCTTCGCATATATTTGTTTGTTTCCCTATACACACGTGATTTCGAGTAAATTCATTTAAGCTGAATTGTTATTAAACCATATACAAAGTAATGTACTAGGATATGAAATGGCTCAAAGAAAAACAGATTTAAATACTTTTGTAACTTTTAAAAATATGAACTTGAATCAGTATTCAAGCTCAAAAGTTCATAAAACAATACAAAAAAAATACCTCCAAAAATAATTTTCAAAATTTCGTCACACCTGCCGTGTTATTGTCATATGAAAAAACATTTATTATCTTCTGTATAAATAAAACAAATTTGAAAAACGTCAGTAAGCATTTCATTTCAATGATTTTATTTATGACAAGGAATTTTCAAAATTTCGTCTTATTGTCAATGATATATATGTGTCAAGTGAAAGTATTGGTTGTTTATAATTACGAGTTCTAAAGTTTTAAATAGTTGCACAAAAGGCATTATGCAAAAGGGTAAAGTGGATTGAAAAACGTGTCCCTTGGTATGAAAATTTGGTATGATAATTGTCTATAATTAAACTAAATATGTTTATACTTTCATTTCTTATTAATAATAAGAAATGGATTTGATGAAGATATATTTTATTTATCATTTTGAAGAGGAAGCCCCCTCCAAATAAATGGGTTACTTTATTCATAACTAAATAAGAATAATTGCTCGGTACTTGTAGCCGTTGTGAACTTGGATAGAATTTAGGGATCAGACAAAATCTACACCTGTGATGAGACCAGTACAAACAGCCATGGACAATGGATTTTTTTATGAAAACCATGGGACAAAAACATTTTACCATTAAAAAAATATATTATTTAAAAAAAAAATCTTTAAAAAAAAAATCATCATCTTTTAAAATCAAACGAATGATTAAAAATGGCAGCATACATACTCAAATTAATAGAAAATATTAAAAAGTTTTAAAATGAACAAACAAAAAAACTTTCATCAATGTTTGAAATATCTGTATTCTGAAAGACTCCATAGTTTTCTTTTAATAGTCTCGGTATCATCAAGATGTAACCATGGGGCAGTAACTTTTTTATAAGTTTAAAGGCATGGAACGTACTGCTTTTTTAAAGAAAATTTTGCTTTGTACCAGTCTGGTCCCATCAAAGTGATCAATTTTGACTGCATGCTCCCTTACCAGAAAAGGGATTTTACGTGCTAAATGTTTTTGTGAACACTAATTTTGTCAGAATGCACACATGTCTTTTATTGTTAATTTCATCTTCTTTAAAATTATAGTTTATATATGTAAGTTATAGGTTAAAGAATTACCGGTTTTCTTTTCTCTAGTCTTTTATAAATGGTCCTTATGTGGAATCTGGAGACTCGTAAAAGATTAACCTAAATGAGAGTGCCTAATTGCCTTCAAACAAGGATTTATTATAATTAAGAGAGAAATCCTAATGTCGAGTTTCACTAGTTATGCATATTTAGTGTTAAGTAAACAATAACTTGGTGTTAAGTGTAATATAACTGATCTATTCCTCCTGTTGTCAACAAAGATGAAGTACATAACACCGAGAACTTATATCGATTAATCATACGATAATCTATCCGGATTTAGAGTCATGTCAATAATATTTTATTGGGCGGGTAATGGGATTTCAAGATTTCAATTGGTAACTCGGATTTAACGATTAATCAAGCTAATCTTCTGCACTCGGAATAGGCCAAGTAAAATAAAAACAGGAAAATAATGATCTTTTTTACAATAGATTCATGATGTGAAACGAACGTGTAAGGTAAATTTGATTTGTTTGGTCTGATTATATTTTGTTTTCAATCCTTTCAGGTCGTTTCTTTCCAAGTTTATTAATTTCTACACCTCGTAGCTTAATCAGTTTGAATACTAGTAATGGTTTACCCTGTGTACCACGCAAACATGGAGCGTAATAGTGGGAACATGGACTAGTATATAAGACCTGAAGACTTTATTCCACTAGAACATTGAATGGAGGCTCAAATTGTTTTCATTTCGTTTTTGTGATAATAACTTGTGATTTCTTTCCTAACGACAGATATGAATATGAACAGTGTTGTCAATTCCTTGTATCAATTTGATGACACCATGAACAAACGTAAGACTATAGAAATAAAGCGAGTCATGAGAGGCGCTCTTAGCATGTCACGAAGTACTGCGGGGGACAATACCTACCATATTAACAAATTCGCCAATAAAGGCCTAGAACAACAGATTAAGGTCCTTGATAAAGCCAAAATCCAATGTCGAAACGGAATTAACTCTAAAAAGCGAACAGCATTGAGAAAATGGTGTCTTGTTTTTGGTAAACAAAAATCTATGAACGATTCTATCAAAGATTTAAATGAAGTCTTAACAAAGGCAATCGAGGAGGGAGACTTCCTTGAATCAAGAATGCAGCCAGAAGAGGAGGAAAAGGAGGAAGAACAACCAGAGGAACAGGAACCCGAACCGGAACCGGAAATTAAAAGATCCGGAATGGATCCTAGTCAGATTCGCGCATTAATGATTAAGCAACAGAGAGGAGGGGTTGAAATTAAAACAAATGAACAAGGAATTACCTCTATGCTTTTACCGAAAATTGAATTTGGAAACACAAACATGAAACTAGAAGACGTGGAATTAGACCCTGAAACTCCCCAGCCCCGAGAGGATATATGGCCTCTTAAAGACACTACCTGGGTCAGTTCTTATATAAAGGGTCAGAGAGAGAAACACGACCTTCTATTTACTAAAAATATTTTAAAAAGCATACAGATCGGAATGACAAAAACAAACCCTTTGCACAGTTTCCGACTGAGAGCGAAACTCTCTGATGATCCAATGGAGTTATTAAGACACTTAACTTCAGCAAAGACCGCCCGTCCTACGACAAGAAATGAATTTAAACGTAATGCCCAAACTGCCGATGCTTTACAATCTCAGAGAGAATCTTAACTGCAAGATCTCAATCTCGAAAGGGTTCGGATGCACAAACGAAACTTCCACCGCTCTTCCGCTCAAAAACTATGTTCCCGTGAATTCCCCAATCCTGTGTTCTTAATGAAGCATATCAGTTTATTGTACATTGCCGAGACATTGGAAACTAGTCCAAATGAAATGTTTGAATTAACATTTTTTAAATATAAAATGGAATGAAGGTAATTTGAAAGTACACTTACTTTCAAATTGGGTCCTTTTTTCAAAGGAGTAGTATGGAAAGCCCTCTGTGTTGTTGCTAAATCAACTTCTAAGTCTTTGTGGCAACATTACATACAAAGTAATTCCGATATGTAAAGATAATTTCGATCAAATTTCTGTTGATGATTCGTACAATTTTGTCATTTTTTTCCTTTTCGGAATCGGAATTGTGTATGCAAAATGTTTTCCTCTGGTAAAGAAATGGATCAAAATGGTTTAATTTGTTTTATTGTTGTTGTTGATACGAGTTTTTGTAAAACTTAAACAAATAAATAAGACAAACAATGAGCCAAAGATATTTATCTTATGACATAATTAGATGGAATAGCAGTAACTGTTTCTTTTTTTTTTATACATGTATATAGCAACATTTCGTAAAAAAACTTAAAGTGGTATGGTCTGTAACTGCGTATATTTCGATAGAAAACATACTGGAGACAAACGTCTTTTATAACTTCAAAAGTATGATAATGATTTTTTAAAAATCCAAGTTTCAGATTTCTTTCGAATTATATGTCTATAATAAAACAAAGCTAATGCATGGACAAAACACTGAATTAAGGTTCATAAACCCTCTGCTCACTCATATAAAATGTTTCTTTAACTTTTATGATTTTCCAAAGGAAATGTATATGCTAAATAAAATACAAACAATTATAGCATGGCTTTCGGGGCAAAATTTGACAAAAAAGGCACTTCAACTTGACAAATTTATGAAGAATTAATAGACATTTGTATCATTAAGAGTTATCCCTCTTATAAGAGTATCCATGTACCTTAAGTTCAGTATAGTCATATAAGAAGAATCCTTACTGAATTTACGTTGGGCAAAAACGTAGTTCTTCAGGTGTTACTTACCTTTATTCGTCACAAGGTATGTCCCTTTAGTTCGTTTAGTTATAGTTGTAAATCTTTATATTCCTACGTGCTCCTGAAATAAAAAATACTTAAAAATATGTGTTGCATTTTCTTGAAAATCTTTTAACATCTCTTTCATAATGTTCAAAATATGCAGAAATGCGGACCATATCACCATAACTGCCAATATTAATTACATTAAAGAAACTGGACAATCGCTGCTTTTGTAGTCATTTCTTTCTTGAATGACTCAGAGACATGTATAGCATCAGCTGTATCTGATATAATTATTCTAAACTCTACGATTTCTTAATTTCTTGAAAGGAAAAGTGTAATGTAATAAGCTTGTTATTAAACTTGTTTCATCAGCAAACCCTAGAAATTTAAAAAATCGATTGTATATATATCTAATTAAAAATTGTATTAATTATGTAAACCTTTTTCCAGATTATTAATTTTCATAGTTTTCATCAATTTAACAAATACTAGTATACATTTCCAAGAAAATATGATCCATGGGATGTGAATTTTTTTACAAAGACATTTAGTAAAACAAGCTATAACGTTATTTAAAAGAGTAAATCCCATGGGCAGTTTAAGGAAATGTGTCAGTTGGCGATTCTAGAACTACTTATCCGCCGGCTTAATAGCTTAATTAGTGATCAGATTCACTTGAGATTAATGTCAGATTTTTATTGGCGAACTGATTAATCTATAATATGGGTAACCAGGTGAATTTATTCAAATAAAATTAACTTTTGAACCAAATAATAACACAACTGAAATCATCTGGTCATGATCCGTTCCTAAATGTATTTGCAACTTTCTAAATTATTTTTATGAGCTTTCTCTGTCTTACCAGCGATAACAAAATTAATAAAATTGTTGCTGAAGTAAGCGTCAAATGTAACCCAAACCCTTTTTAATACCGCCATGAAATTCGCCAAAAGAGGATAAAAAACTTTGTAATAATTGATAAGGAAGTTGAAAGCTGTACAGGAGCTAAATGATAAACTTGTTCTGTTATCAAAGCAGAAAGACCACAATCCATGTTCTCCCGAAATAAAAGAGAAGGGGAAATGTATAAAGAAAATCTAATATTTTTCTCTCCTTAAGTTCACCATAGAACGGAAAATATGAAAATATATTTACTTATTACCTTCCATTAAAAAAGTTCAAAAAGAATATCCTCCAAGAGATGCAAAACACCATCAGTCCAATTTTGCTATCAATCTTTCACAGTTGCAAGTAAGGATCATGATGGGGTCTACAAAGAGATGACTGAAAGTAACACATGAAATACGTACACTGTATTCAGGGTCCTTTTCCCACGTCGTGTTTCACAAATTCAACAGACAGTGAAACATTTAAGCAAACTCTTGTTCATTTGTTTTCTGTGGATTACCTCCTCTCTGTCGGCTTAAGGTGGAATGAACATTATTAATAAAAATAGTGATTGTATTGTTTGTAAAATTTGTGTAAATAATTGTTATATTAGCAAATAAAAAATGCTAGTTTTTAAAGATTCATCACATGTTATTTTGTTGACATTCCATTCTCCTAAATAGCCAAGTATTTGGTATAATTCTGATCAAGGAGAGGATACGTCTGATGAATGAATGTTTTACATTGTTTCTGACATGCAAAATTTTAATATTTCTGCCGTCTATTTGTAAAAGTGTCTGCATTTGCTTCTTTCTGTTATTTATAAATAGATTCAGAATAAAGCTTTACAGTAGCTTTCATTAATAGAAACAAAAGGTAAGATAACGAATACTAGTAGTGAAATACCGGTATATTGAAAGCATAAGATTTTTTTTAAATATATAGAATTTCATATGGAATGAATGATATTTTTCTGATTCAATTTATTTAAGAATCGTGGAACTTTACACCGTTTCCATTTTTCTAAAATACCGTTTAGTTGAAATTATTTAAAACAAAAAAAATATTACAAAGTTTAATCCAAATTTATAAAAATGAATTACGGAGATAACCAACAGGTATGGAGCTCATAAGTCGATTGAAACCATTCAAACCGGGAGTAGAGTAATCATGGACATCAAAAACATAGAGGTACATATATATAAGCACTTTCTGTTGACGGTCCCAGCCGCCGAATGTTCCCTGTCGGAAAAAAATGTAGAGATAGAGACCTAATAATTAGAAAGAAAACCGTCAATCAGCATTCGGCTTAATGATAGACTGCATTTGCTCATTAGGTCACTGTATCAACCATGGAACATGCAAAATCATGACTTTAAACGAGACTGTTGATATTCTTGTTTTGTCAACAAGGTTGTCAATAGCTGTCCTCTTTTCAGAAATTGCTCGAATGTATAATATGCTCTTTCTTATCGAATCAACTGGGAGACATAAACTCCACAAGCAGGTAATAATTATATCCTGCTCCATAACTAAGAGAATTTGACGATGAAAAAGATTGAGTCATCACGTTTATCACTTGATTTTTAGTTAACATTTACGTCTTTTTCCTAGTAAAATATCAAAATATTAAAATAGACGTGTAAGAGTCTTTGTTGTCTTTTGTTTCAAGTTCAGAAGTATATTTCAAATCAACGTAAAAAATTAAAATGAATATTTTATAGATAAGACATCTTCAATACATATACGTAGGTGGTGATGCAAACTTAATGTTAGGTAGGATGCCCATCTTTTCTATTGTCATCCTCTCTTATTTGTGTAGAATAGAATATGTGGAGATAACAAACAGTATTGAAGCTCAAAAGTCCATAAAACAATACAAATCAGGAGCAATGTAAACTCGGACCTCTAAAAGAGATGGGATTGGGTGCCATGGAGAAGTGTGTATCCCCTGCCAAGCGGTCACATCTACCGTGTGCTTCTTGTCATGATCGAAAAATAACTGA